CTGCCAGGGTAGCCGCCTCCGGGAGAGAGGAGGAAAAGGCCTGTTAGTTACTATGGAATGTAATAAAACCCAAATGAGATAAAATAGCTAAGCACTTCATGCTGCATTCCGAGCGCGGCCCCACACACAAGTATCTGGTGAAATTACAGGGAATGGAAGGCAATTTGCAGCGTAATATTGCTATGGTTATTTTATAAACCCGCTGCCTAGGAATATAGATTCCAGCAGAACACTTCTGCTTTCGCTAGCTAAAAACATGCACAGAAATTGTTAGAGCATCTGACACAGCCGCATCAAAATCCGAGCGAATCCCTTCCCTGGGATATGAGTCTTGGTTACGGTACATACACCAGCATTTATCAAACACTTAGGAAAGAACATCAGAAACCCAGTTTCACTCATAATGCACCTGTGTCCCTCAATGCAGCTAAATGCATTTACCTGCATTTCATCAAACGTACATTTTATTATGTGGTTTTAGATGATTTGCGTCTGATAAACCCTCATATGGACAAAGCACAAAGTCAATTAAATAAAGGCACTTCAAACACACTGCAGGCATGTTTAAAGTGGGTCTCATTGATATTCATTGTTCATATCTCCTCTTCACCGACACAAAAAAAAGACATGCTGCATAAAAAAAAAAAAGAGACAGCAACACAAATCAACAGCGCTAAATAACTGAGAACAGAATCAGCTTTTGCAGCATTTCATTGCACAACAAATAAAAGACAAATACAATATGTAGATTTCACTATAACATTTAGAACTCACACTCATGCCATTGGGAAACTAGGGTCTCCCTGGGGTTAATTGACTAAAGGTGTATAGGATGCTCACTGTGCAGCCAATGTTAGATTAGCAGAGTGAATAAGAGATGTTTAGCCAAAAAGCCAAACACTTTCTTTTTCATTTTGGATAGAGTAGGGGGAGGGTTAAACCACTGTCACTTTTTTGACTATTGGGTCTAACTTGGTAGATTTTCATTAACTTCCTGTTCTATAGACTCAACAGGAGGTGAGAAGATATCTTTTCAATGTGATGGAAATCCTTCTCTTAGATAGCTGCCACAGGAACCAGCGTCCCCATTGGAAGATTTCCCCTATATTCCTGTTCTGGTGGCAATTTTTGGATTTACCTTGACTTTCATTGGTGATCAGAACTATTAGAGAGAGTCTCGCTAATAGCGACACAGACAGAAATAAAAACTGGCATTGGTTCTAACCCATCACCACTCTATTCTAATCTGAAAAGAAAAAAGTTGTGCTTTTGCTTTTACAGGGTTATTCACAAAAAGGTGAAGAGTTTGGAGAAGGCGGGAGAAGTGAACAATCTAGGACAACATAGCTGAACTGGAAAGTGAGCCGAATTGGAGAATTGTTCCTAATAGTATAGGTGCATTTTCAGGTGCTTCATCACAAATGTGTGACCCCACAGACTTCAAATATAGCGCAGGAAAAACACATGTAACATGCATTTTTGTGTACTGCAAAATGGTACACCAGCCTCCAAGCAACGTCTACTTTGTTTGACTTTTATTGGCCAAACAGAAAAAATGCAAAATGCATGAAAACAGACTAAAACATGCATCAAAAACACACAAAGAAACACATGAAAATGAAGTGCAGAGGTATGAGCCTAGTCCAAAGTATATGTCCAGCCATAACCTTTTTATTCAGTTTTGGATAGTGTGGGGGAGGCTTAGAACTAGGAAGCTTTAGAACTGGGAGGCTTTAGAACTAGGGATGCACCGAAATTTCGGCCACCGAAACATTTTGGCAGAAAATGATACTTTGGGCAAAATGCGGAAAGTACCATAACTGCCAAAAAATTATGTGCATCCCTAACTTCTTCCCTCTCTGTTGGACGACAGTCTGTGTCCTGTCTGATCCCTGCTGCTCTCCTCTGCCCCTGTTGGCAGAGGCAGCAGGCATCCATGGAGTCCAGCAGGGAGGAGAGAAGGTTTCAGGAGGACAGCTCAGGATCCCGAGCGGGTGCAGGGCAGGGCAGAGACAGCTGAGCTCTCCTCCCACGCTGCCCTGCTCAGCCTGTGACAGCAAGTCAGGATGGAGAGTGAAGTACAAACATTCAGCAAACAGGTGATTGCTGAGTTTTTCTAAATAACTGTGGGCATAGTATGCTTCCTGTGTCCCCAGATATGAATGAACAGGAAGTGCTCTACATCCCTTCCTGTTCATTCATGATTGTGGACATAGTAACTCATACTGTACCCACAGTTTATGAATGGACAGGAGCAGACCCCTGATATTCCCCCAAAGCCCCTGACAGTAAAGTAAAAAAAATTAAATAAAAAATGTTTAAAATAATTTTTAAAAATGTAAAAAGGTTGGGGGGAAAAATCCTTTTCGGTTTCAGTTTCAGCCTGACAATTTTTTTATTTTCAGATTTGGTCTACAAAAATTCAATTTCTGTGTATCTCTACTAAGAACCCATGTTAGGTTTTCACTACTATCTGGGGTTTCTGTGTATTGCTAAATTATTAATAACCTTCACTAATGGCAGAAATAGAATTCACAGAGCAACATCTTGGAACTTGAGAGCGAGACCTAAGACTGCTATTTTTGTAACCTGTCATCTGTTATCAGTTAAATAAATGTTATGTTTCATTAATTCATTGTGTGTGTGTTATTCATTGGTACCATGTCAAGAGACTTAAAGCAAAGGTACCATGCAAATGAACTTAAAGTGAAACAATGGAAAATCAAAAATTATATAAATTATGCAGTCTATCACTAGCATTAAAACAGCAGTCTGTTTTTCTGAGTAGCCACTGTAGCATGGGTAAAACCAGAGCAAGGAGGCCGAGGAACAGAAATCTGATATGCCCAAAGTGCCAAATGTGAAGAGGCCTGTTGCTTTGCAATAAAGCAAAGATCAGAGGAACTGTTAGGAGAGCAAGGCTTGCCCTGCACTCTGCTGCAGCCATCACTCTGTCTTTTCTCCAGCTTCTGGAGCCTGCCTGACACACACCCCTACACGCAGGGGTGTATCTACTGCAAGGCAAACTAGGCATTTGCTTGGGGCAGCCCTTTCCAGGGGGCGGCAGAAAATGCCACCCCAAACCAATGAGGCGGACAGAGCCAGACTTGCCGTTAGGCATACTGGGCACTTGCCCCATGGTCCGAGGCTGGGCGCCACAGAATCAGGCAGTGGCGGCTGCCAAATGAGGCAAACTAGGCGGCCGCAAGGCCATAAGAGCGGCTGCCTAATTAGAGAGCTGCCCAGTGGAGGCGCGGGTCCAGTGAGATGCGGTCCAGCGGGCTTTGTACAGGAGGTGGAAAAGAAGCAGCAGGCAGGGGCTGGCCATAGCATGTGATTTGATCATGGGATGTCCCAGAAGCAGGCTAAGGACTGCAATGTATCCTGTTGGTACTGATGGCACTTCGAGCTGCAGGTAAGAGGAGCAGCACATGTATGCAGGAAAAGGGACTATGAACAGTCCTCCTGAGACCCTGCACAGCCCACCATAGTCCCCACACAGCCCACCATAAACCCTGCACAGCCCATCTGAGACCCCGTACAGCTCTCCTGAGACCCCCGTGTGCGCTAAATGTCTTAACAGGAAGGGGTGGGGCAAATTTAGATTGAGGGGGTGCCCGAGTTTAGTCTTGCCTAGGGCAGCACAAAACCAAAATACACCACTGCCTCCACGCCTCCACAGACAGTGTTCTGTTGGCTAGGCAGTGATCAGCTCAAGCTGACCTTCCTCCTCATATCTGATCGGCTGCAGCTCCCTAGCACTCTATTTGAGCATCACAAGTCCAGGGGCGTTTTTCTACCTAGCTCCTGACTCATGTCCTGTTGCCTTGCCTTGCTTGTTTCTACTGTTACTGACCCTTGTTTTGGATATGGATTCTCTCTCTGAATGCTGCCTGCCCTGACCCTTGCTTGGATAATGGATCACTCTCTTGAACGCCTCATGCCCTGACCTTCTGAAACAAACCACCAGACTTCTTATCTGTATACAGACTTCCTACATTCTCAGGATAATTGGTCCCATTATTGGAACTCTCCCTCTGAGTTGCCTTGACTTATTTTTTTACGCATACAGTTTGATACAGTTTACAAGGAAGTCGAATGAAAGTCAGAAGCACCTATGCAAGAACTCAAATGGAATTCAGAAGCGTTTTGCATAGACCTGAAAGCACAGCTGCATTCTTCATCTACACAAGCCATTATTCTAAATTTCATGCCATCCATTGCAGACAGATTAACCAAACTTTTCACAGTTGCAACTGGTCAAGTAAACCAGGAAACAAAAGGAGCATGCATTTGTGTAGGCTCCATTTCAGATCCATTAAAAAAAATAATAGGATTTATTGAGTGAGAGAGCCAGGTGCAGAAGATGAGTTGCAGGGAGAAAATGATATCCGTTCAGCAGGTTACTGAGTTCAAATGCAAAATTTTCATGTCTGACTGGAGTTTAACGTCCAACAAAGCTATGAATTCCATCCAAAAACGTATTATATTTGTCTAAGATGAAGTGTATAACTTTCATCACACCCTCCAATGGTCCATCCAGTTCTAAACAAGAAAGATGGATATCAGGTCATTTTTAGCAGCCTCTACTTATCACCGGTTTTGCAATTTCCATGACAACCACTAAGACTCAGCGGAAAATGAAGCTTCACTTTCAAAGCCCTGCAGATAGTAAAGAAGTGGTAACTGGAGACACATTATTTTACTATAAAACCATCAAATTTCCATTTCCTCAAAATCAAATGATTTTAATGTCCCAAAACACTGATTTTTCAGAGCCACCGGAGACTCGAAATGAGGGTCAGGTCGGAAAGCCAATTTAAATGAAAGTAACCCATGAATAAATGATGTCTGTTAATTCCCAGCACTAAGATTTATATTTAATTAACAATAATACTGGATGATGGGTAAAAGGAAGAAGAGAAACAAAAGAGGATAATTAAATCTTCATGGCATTTTTTAGCTCCCTGAGCAATGGGACCAAAGGAGACTTCACTTACCATTAAAGTGGAAAGCTCAGACCGTAGAAATTCACAGTCGCTGATGCCATACAAATAACCAAGCACAACAATGTTCCAATTTTGTACAAAATTCAGTGACTTGTCTTCTGTAGATTGGTACATGAAGTTTGAGCTGAAAAAGAGGGAATTTGACAATCTAAGGTTTGAATAAATAAAATAAAACCTCAATGTATAAATAGCATAAGAGCAACAGCAATATACAAAAAAAAGTGTAAATTACAATTTCATAATATCATACAAATGTTCACATACTCAAGCAGAATTGTAATCAAAATCAGACCTCAGTTACCCTGCTTGCCAAAAGGTAACAAAAGGCTTGAAAAAAACCTCTTTGGCTGTAGAAACCCTTGCTCCCAGATTCAGTTTGACCGGATAGGCATTTGGTCCTGTGATCTCTACTATACATAGGAAGGAAGGTATCAGATTTGCTTCTTAACTTCAGCAGAGATCATGGTAATAAATGCCTTGACTACTGGAAATCTTTCATTTAAATATATTATTTAATAGCCACAAATATAAAAAATCTATGTTATGTGCACCACATGCTTTTGCAAGCCAAGACCAATACCTTTTAATAGTAGATCTGACATTATCTCTGTGTGGCACATACCATGTGCACAGAGCAGAGCTATAGGAGGGACCCTACAGGACCACCCAGTACAGACTGCCTGCCAAAAAACTACAAGGAGGCGGATACAAGACTAGTCATCCTGCACAAGGAAAGAGTTACTGTCTTTATTACAGGAAGTTCTTGCACAGAAGCAAAGTACAGGAGTTGTTTCATGTCGGATTACTGCACAGATCTGGAAAAAATACACAATGGACACCAACATTCAGGTAAGAATACACGTCTATTTATTTTTTAGGCATTATTTGTTTCATCTGAATTTCTGTTTTAAAAATATGGGATCCCGTCATGATAGAATTATGAGAGTTGCCGTTCTCTGCCTTTTTGTAAGAGCGCAAGCTACTTTTAATTTCTGTTTTACCACTACTGGGTTCCTGGTACAAATCAAGTATTTTTGAAGTCGGACCTCCCGGCAGGCTTTTTAATTGTTATGTAAGGAAACAATGATGAGCATACCATCCGCATGAAAAGTGAACAATGTTAGTTTCAATATTTATTTTCTGACAGGCCCCCTACAGCAATTTTTTAGTAAATGCATTTATAGGCTATAAGGTATATTTTACATAATCGTGGGTAACTCCTTAAAGTGTCACACTCTTATTTATGGTGTGTTCACTTTAAAAACTGCTTTCCTGGATCATTGTTAAGCATCACGAATTTTGTATGAACATGACGTTATTGGTGTTTATATTACATCTAAAATATTCATGCTGTAATAAAATTTGGCCCGAAGCAACGAGACTGTGTAGCTATGTTCCAGGACTTGTTTATTAAAACTATTTAGCAAAATGCACTTCATACTCTAAATGCTTCCCATTCTGTTGTTCTCTCTTAAAACTGAATATGACAATGAAAGCTGAAATGACACAGGAAGTCACATGATCGACTTGTCCAGGGGGGAAATAAGCTGTAACAGCATTTTCTTGCTTCCGTTTTAAACAAATTATTATTATCCAGGACACTTGTCCAGAAAACCAGACATAGATGAAAGCATTGATTAGGAAGTGTGTCCCAGCTTAGTAAATAATAAAGAAAAGACAATGATCTGTGTGTTATTCCTCTTCATACAGAAGTAATTATAAATTCCTATCAGGATCATTCCTACTAGAATTTTGTCTCACGTGATGTCTTTTAGGGGCAACATAAGTCAAGGTTCCCACGAAGCCTTATGGCCTTCAACTTGCTGATGGCCATACTGGCAGAAGCAGTCATGACCAGGAAGGAGGCATAATCCAGTAGGGTGTGTTGCCTACACAGTGCGCTACCTGTTTTACAAGTATTGCCTTGGTCAATACTGACCTTAGAATGCTCGTAAATCTTTTGAGTGCATTTAATTACATGGTACTCAAAGATTACATGTTAAGTTAAAAATAGTGGCGAACACTTTGCATCTCAGTCTGATACGTAACTATAAGTGACTTAATCTGTCGGCAAGCTATACAGGTCTGGACCTGAGGTGACAGGCCTGCCGGGAGTGGCCTAAATGTTATAGAGCTGCTGCAGATATGACCCTTACCAGTCAAAATTAAGCTGGACACATGACCGAGCCCTTCTTTTTTTAATTGGAAACAACAGGAACACAGAGACAGGTAATTAAATAATTACTGCATCATTCCACAAAAGAGAATACACTACACAAGCATCAAACACAACACCACCACCCACCACCTTGTGGCAGAACTACTAATCTCAGTATAATATATGAGAGTTGTTGCTGCATCTACTGTATGTTTATAAACAGCATGACGACGCTAAATCTATGATCATTCCAGAAACAATCAGTAGGATACATACTGTACATCAACTACTGGTTGTAGTAGACCAGGTGTATCCTCTCAAAGATGACCATGAGGGGAATGACTAATAAATAAGTTAATCTTCTTCTTTTAGTGTACATGGGAGTGGGTTAGAGTGGAGCCTCCTGCATGATCTTAAGTAGCTCCCAGCTTAGTGAAGCTTTTATTAAACTAAATTCTAGGTTAGCACTGAATCTGGAGAGGGATGTTGGGACAAGGAAAGGTTTTTCAGGTGTTTTAAAGATTACTTTAGTCAAAAGGGGGTTGCCTCCAAGTGTTGCTTGCGTACTTAGGTTACGCAGGCAACACCTCATGACAGTGATCCACTAACTTTACATCAGATGTTGCTCTGGTCAAAGCACATATCTATTAAGCCAGACAGGCCTGGACACATGCTCTTTGTGTGATTCTTGTTAGTGGGCAAAACTCACCTGATAGTCTCACGTCTGTTCAGAGACCCTTTGCATGCTGAACCATGCCTTATCCTTTCCAGCATCTGCATCTAAAGGCCCCTTTCAGATGGGCAGAGTGATCAAGTCTGCCTGTTAGTTTTTCAGGTGGATCTGATCAGAAGCCCAATGTTAGTCTAGGGACAGCCGGATCTAAACGGACATGCATCTGTTTACATCCGATTACTCTCGACTCCATCTGGGTGCAGAAAACCAAAGGTAATAGAGTTCCATTTTGGTGGACCTGATTGTGACAGATCTAGGGAAATCTGATGTAAATGGAACTGACAGGCACCCATGTGAAAGGGGCTTTAGACAACGACTGTGTGATTGTCTGTCAAAAGGCATATTTATAAAGCAGCGGATGTGAGATTTACCAAACGTTCACTGCAGGTGAATGTTTCACTGTATTTAAACACACACACATACAGCAGGAAGATACTCCTGCAGTGAATGTTTCGGGCAAGGGTGCCCCTTAGGTAGATCGCGATCTACCAGTAGATCGCAAAGCAAACACTGGTAGATCGCAAAGCAAACACTGGTAGATCGCTATCAGCTCACTGACCTGAGCTCCCTCCCGCGGTGCTACTGCGGCTGAATGTGTCAGACGCAGACGGGAAGGAGAGAGAGAAGGAGCGAGGAGAGATGGAAGAGCCAGACAAGAGAGAGGGCCAGTTCGCACCACAAAGTCTGCATTCCATAGTGTTCGTCCTCTAGTACGCACAGAAACACAAGCCGGCTTGCAGTATTTTTGCAGATCACACTGGACGGGAATGCAGGCACTAGTGTGCCTGTGTTCTGTGTGCGCGCGATCGCTCTGCGGGCGGGGGGCGTGGCTGCTGTGCCATTGACTTCAATGCACCGCCATGCCCTGAAGGCAAGTGTTTTTTCATTGGTAGATCTCATTGAGCTCGTCATTTGAAAAGTAGATCTCCAGACTAAATATTGTGGGCACCCCTGGTTTAGTGTGTATCACATGTATCACATATCACATACTGTTTTATAAAAATACGCCTTAGACTATGCATATTTGGCAGTTAAAATCATGTGTGTAGAGATGAGACAAGAATGCCCCAGAAAACATAGGCAAGAATACCCCAGAGCTTTCTGGGGCAATCCTATCTGCTCTCTCTAGTACCCATCAGGTAGCTGCCAAACTCTGGATCATCCGAGCTCCACTATGACGAGCATTAAGAGCGACCATCCTCATGCCTTTTTTGTACCTTAGGTTGTCTGATATCCCTTTCGGGATTTCTTGCAACCTTGCCTATGTGAGTATCAAACTCTTTCTTCTTTATCCACTTCCTTCTTTATTTCTAATTTAAATACTACACTTATTTAGATCTCTCCCAGGACTTGTTGTCCTCAATGTTGTTGATTCTTCTATTGTTTGGAGCTGTGTCTTCCTTTCAAACAATCAGGTCTGGCCATTTTAGCAGTCATTTTGCTAGTGAACTTTGGTGCCTCATCTGTCGGCAGATCACCCACGGTAATCAGCATAGGGAAAACGTGGATGGGATAGGAAGGATGCAACATAAGGAAAACAAATGGGCAAAGAACAGTAATGGAATATTAATCATTATTCAAAAAATTAGGAAAAAAAACAAATATCTTGTTTTTAGGACATCTTAAAAATGTAAATGTGATATAGTATTAAAAGCCTATATATTTTATAAGTTATTCAAGACAACAATAAAAAAGCCTTTTAAAGCAATTTCACAAGTCACCTTCAGTTCTGCAGGAATATTATTCGTTTTTCTAGTCTTTTATGAAGAAGCAGACATTCTATACAGTGATGGGCAACCGCACAGCGATATTAAATGTAAACAGACAGAGATGTATATTTGAGCTTTCAGTTCCCTGAGGAGCCAATGCCAAGATTCACTGGTGACTCCTGACAAAAGCTCCTCAGGGACCTGAAACGTTGAATAAACATCTGGATCTGCTTAACTTCAATACCATTTTGTGGTTGACTTCAATATGTTGGATTGAGGGGTTTTGTACATGTTACACTTGGTTACAGCTATTCTTGACATTACAGCTAAAGGACAACTAGACCAGAAATAGAATATATCATATATCAACCATTCAACATGAGCCATTTCCTCCATTTCCCAGTCTTCTGCCAGTGTTGTCATTGCTACTTTCCCAAACTGTTGAGGTGAATTAAACCATTGCCTCCTATGTAAAATATAAAATACTGTGTGGGGACATTTAATAATCCATAGAGAAATA